ATTTTCAGATCTGGTTCAGGTTAGAAAATTTTAACTCGAAAATTTTTGGGTTAGGTTCAGGTTAAACATGAATCAGACTCGAAATTTAGAAACTCTATCCTTTAGATTGTAAGCCAACACAAGCAAATTTGCCTGTTTTTACATTCATTCAGCTCTGATTTATTTTTTTAAAATACAAAAATATCAAAAAAATAATTATATATAATAAAATTTGAAACTTTCAACGTTAAATAAAAATAGACTAGAATTTAATATTTTAACATAACTTTCTATAATAAAATCAAAAAAAAGAAGCACTAAACTAAAAATGATGGATAACGGAGTGTTTGTTGAATCAATAAAAGTCGTGAACGAAATTGATGATATTATCAATCTTGAAGGAAAAATATTAATAAATAAATTCGCTCACGAGAGAAAAAATGTGACAGTAGATTACTCTAATGATCTTTGGAATACATATTTTAATGTTGACGCAAAAAAATCTCATAGTATTTCATCCAAACAAGATTTATATATTTTCGAACTTACAACTTTTAAAAGACCAGGTGTACCACTCTATCTTGAATTTTCGATTAAATGTGATGTTGCTGGTTCCGTTTTTTGGACCAATGGTTATCAATATATATATGATGAGGGAATTTCTCCTAAAGAATTTTTTTTCAATAAAATTCAGCTTCCGAATCCTTCTGACGAAAGAAAAGAAGAATGTATTATATGCATGGAATATTTCGATCCAGACGACCTAATAAAACTTACTGATCAGTGCATTCACGATGACTGCATGTGTCGTGAATGTATTCGAAAACATATTGAAACTGAAATTTCTGATAAGGGAAATTTTAAGATTTCTTGTCCAAAAGATGATTGTATTGTGATATTACAAGGACAGGATGTAAAAAAATTTGTTGATGACGAAATATTTAGCCGGTATGTTGATTTGAATATGTTGTGTGTCGGATTAAAACTTGCGTCAAATTAAATTTAAATACAAAACTATATTAGAGTAAGAGCAAGTATTAAAGAGGTAATTCTAGCATTTGCCTTGCGTACGTAGATATTAATCCGACGCACAAATATATATATTATAAGGAGCGCCTTCATTCTTTTTAACCTGAATTTCTGCTATTACGTAATACGTAGCCTATTACTATTAACTATATTTAATATTTTTAATTTGTATAGCCACTTATCGCACTAGTATTATACATTAATTATACTCTTCCGTTCCTGGTTTGGCGTGACTATGTCGCACAGCTACTTAATTAATAAATTTAAAATTCTAGAAATTTAAATTTGCAAAATAGATACATACATATATGCGCATTAATTGTCAAAACTGGATGATGAAGTCATCCACATGAGCAAGTTGCTAGTTTAACAACCCTAACATATATCAATAACCTGGAGGCAAGCCGCCCACAGGATCGAGATCTAGTTTATATACCGGTGTATGCGATTCGTATCATTGCAAAGGTTATTATGTACTGTATTTACTACAGTATACAAGTTGTAAGTTTCTTATAGATTACAGTACAATCAGTCAAATTAACTTGCGTTGTTAGTAGATCTTGTTTCTATGACAGTCATTTCCTCAATAAATAAGTTGGTCCGATTTAGAGTTAGGACTAACGTTGGTTAAAGAGCCGGGGAAATGGCTGTCGGGTCCATAAACCATTAATTTGTAACTACAGTAAAAGTTGTAACTACCGCTAGGGGCAAATCGTGAAACTTTCAAATTAAATGCGCATGACATATATAGTAGAGATATAATTCTATTCAAGTTGGTCAGAATTATGCCAGCTGGCCAGAATTATACCAGCTAGCCTGAATTTTAA